GGGTAATGGCTTTAAACTAAAAGAAGGAAGATTTAGACTGGATATAGGGAAGTGATTGTCTACAGTGAGGGTGGTGAAACAATGGGAGATGTTGCCCAGAGAGGTGGTAGGTTCTCCATCCCTGGAAACGCTTCTGGTCAGGTAGGACGGGGCTCTGAGCAACCTGATGGAGTTGAAGATGTCCCTGCTCATGGCAGGGGGGTTGGTGACCTTTAAAGGTCCCTTCTAACCCAAAATGTTGTAAAATCTGAGGCAGGACCTTAGCAGCAGCACGAATGTAACAAACCCATCTCGTCTCTGGGTGCAGTTTGTGATGTTTTCTGCTGGGTTGGGTCTCCCTTCTGCTGCCCACCATGACTGAGCACAGCCCCCCTGCCCAGGCTGATGTTCCCTGCTCATTTTAAGGGCAGATGTGGCAACAGGAAGGTGTCTGCTCACTAATGCTCCGAGGGCATGAGAAGGAAAGCAGATCCTCACCTGGCTGGTGGCTTCCCCTGGCATAGCAGGGTCAGGCCGACCTCTGGGCAGCATGGACCTGGCTGGAACCCAGTGTCACTGAGCCTTGTGGTGGCATTGGCCATGCTTGGCTTGGAGAGCAAGTTGCTGAAGCACCAGCTGACTCCTTTTTGTCCATCCCGAGGTAGGAGAAACCCAGCCCTACTGTCCTTCTGGGTGTATCCTCCCCTGGGTAGATTTTCTGGGGTTTGCCAAGGTGCCAGGAGCTTTGCACAGTGCAGGAAGGTGAATTTGCTTTATTGGCCTGGCCATGCTTGGCTTGGAGAGCAAGTTGCTGAAGCACCAGCTGACTCCTTTTTGTCCATCCCGAGGTAGGAGAAACCCAGCCCTACTGTCCTTCTGGGTGTATCCTCCCCTGGGTAGATTTTCTGGGGTTTGCCAAGGTGCCAGGAGCTTTGCACAGTGCAGGAAGGTGAATTTGCTTTATTGGCCTTTAATTTTGGGAGCAGGAGCTTTGTTGAGTACTGTCCAGGCCATTCCCTGCCCTCGCCATGGTGTTCCCTGGGCTCACTGCACAATTAATGGCAAAAATTGCTTTTTTTTAGCTGATCTGACGTCTTTGAGACAACTTCCCGCGTCAGAGTGAAACCCCCTAGGATAGGTTTCCTGGGGTTTGCCAAGGTGCCAGGAGTTTTGCACGGTGCAGGAAGGTGAATTTGCTTTATTGGCCTTTAATTTTGGGAGCAGGAGCTTTGTTGAGTACTGTCCAGGCCATTCCCTGCCCTCGCCATGGTGTTCCCTGGGCTCACTGCACAATTAATGGCAAAAATTGCTTTTTTTTAGCTGATCTGACGTCTTTGAGACAACTTCCCGCGTCAGAGTGAAACCCCCCAGGGGAGAAATGGCGAATGAGGAAGAGAAACCAGGGAGCCAGACGAGTCCCTGTGCAAAGTGGGCTGCATGGTGTGTGTCCTGGGGCTGGATGGGGGGAAGGACTCTCCTTGCTGAGCAGCATGGGGTGGGCTTCATGGCTCTTGCTGGTTCCTGAACCCAGCTGGTTCACCTTGAATGATCACAAAGATGATCCGAGGGCTGGAGCACCTCTGCTGTGAGGACGGGCTGAGAGAGTTGGGGTTGTTCAGCCTGGAGAGGAGAAGGCTCCAGGGAGACCTTAGAGCCCCTTCCAGTACCTGAAGGGGGTCCAAGAGAGATGGGGAGGGACTTTGTACAAGGGCATGTAGTGATGGGCCAAGGGGTAACGGCTTCAAACTGGAAAAGGGGAGATTTATATTAGATATGAAGAAGAAATTCTTTAGTCTGAGGGTGATGAGACACTGGCCCAGGTTGCCCAGAGAAGCTGAGGCTGCCCCATCCCTGGAGGGGTTCAAGGCCAGGCTGGATGGGGCTTGGAGCAACCTGGTCTGGTGGGAGGTGTCCCTGCCCAGGGCAGGGGGTTGGAACTCAATGGTCTTTAAGGTCCCTTCCAACATAACTATTCAATGATTCATGAGGAAATGCATTACCTGCAAACCCCCTGCAGCTGGGTGGTGGCTGCGTGGGTGGGGGACACGTGTGGCTGCCCACCCTGTGTCTCCCCAGCGGGGATGCTCTCCCTGCTGAGGGCACGGGGCTGCTCGGGGGCTGCAGGACACCCCCAACCCACAAAGTCCCTGGAGATGGGTCTGTGTTTGCCCGTGAGCCCTGAGCCTCAGCTATTCCCTTTGTGTTTGCCCGGGGCAGACCCTGTGTCATCCCACGGGCTGTGGGAGGTGTGGGGTTGTTCACCAAACGTGGAGATTGGGCTGAGGGCTGCCGGGTGGGGGCTCGGCTGGTAACGAATGGCTTCACATGAACACCCCTGGGGTTATTTCCACCTCCCTGCCTGCAGTCATCGCTCTATCAGCTTGGGGCGGGGTCCCTTGGGCCCACAAAGTCCCTGGAGATGGGTCTGTGTTTGCCCGTGAGCCCTGAGCCTCTGCTATTCCCTTTGTGTTTGCCCGGGGCAGACCCTGTGTCATCCCACGGGCTGTGGGAGGTGTGGGTTTGTTCACCAAACGTGGGCTGTGGGCTGAGGGCTGCCGGGTGGGGGCTCGGCTGGTAACGAATGGCTTCACATGAACACCCCTGGGGTTATTTCCACCTCCCTGCCTGCAGTCATCGCTCTATCAGCTTGGGGCGGGGTCCCTTGGGGTTATTTCCACCTCCCTGCCTGTGATCATTGCTCTATCAGCTTGGGTCGGGGTCTCCTGGGGGGCCAGCAGGTCTGAGCCGGGTCCTGAAACTGCTCCTGGCTCCAGATGGCTGCTTTTCCCCCCAAAAAGCCAGCTGGTTCCCCAGCCTCCTGCAGTGGTGCTTGTCACATTTTTAATGGACACAAATATGAAGCCCGAGGTGGGGGGGTGACAGGGTGGCAATGGGGCTGTGTTGGGACGGGTGCTAGCCTCGGGCTA